TCCATCCATCCATCCATCCATCCATCCATCCATCCATCCATCCATCCATCCATCCATCCATCCATCCATCCATCCATCCATCCATCCATCCATCCATCCATCCATCCATCCATCCATCCGTCCTTCTCCGCAGGGTGCTCTCCATCCATCCATCCATCCATCCATCCATCCATCCATCCATCCATCCATCCCCCAGTCTGTGCTGGCACTGAGGATTGCCCCAACCCAGGTGGAGGACCTTGCACTTGGCCTGGTTGAACTTCATGAGGGTCTCATGGACCCACTCCTCCAGCCCGTCCAGGTCCCTCTGGATGCCACCCCTTCCCTCCCGCGTATCCACTGCACCACTCAGCTTCATGTCATCTGCATTTCTCAGGGTAGTTCTGTTTTTTTCCCAGAACTTTTGGAAATAAGTACGTTCGCTCCCACTGTACATCACCCCGCAGCAGCTCATGGCCTCTCATGAACCCAACACCCACCTCCCGCACACAGCAGCGCCCACCCCATCCCACGCTGTCTTTTTCATGAAGACCCTCTCCCACTCCTCGTTTCCCTGCTGTGCCAAGCGCCGGGTCAGCCCCTCCGCAGCCTCCCTCCCCTCTCCCTGGAGCCCTTTTTATCAGCCAGCACCGTAACGCTTCTCAGCCCCTGGGCGCTGGCAATACTCCAGCAGCATCACAGCCACCCTCAAGTCCAAGGTCTTGGGTAACTGGGTGACCATGACATGGCTCTCTCCTCCTACACCTTTTATCTGCTGCTTTTAAAATCTCTCTTATTGATATCTTAATTTGGGACGGACACAGGTGCCGCGAGCTTTACCCTCTCCTTTTCTATCTGTGTCCTCACAGGGATGGCTTTTCCCACCCAAAAGCCGCCTCTGCTCCCCTGCACCACCCAGCAGCATCCCTGGCACCCAGGCTCTCTGCAAGGCTCTTCATGGACGCCTCCTCAGCTTCGCAACACCCAAAGGTTTCATCCTTTGGCTGCTCCTTTTAACAAGCTCCCTCGGGTTTGTGCAACTGGCATTTTTTTTGAAATTGAACACAACTGGAGGGAAATCTCTTTTCCCTCTCCCACGTCCCCAGCACCATGACCGCGAGTCCCCCCCAGGGCTTGTGCAGACCCTCCCTCCTGCAGCAGCATCTTGAACCGCCTCCATGTGCTGCCTGCATTCTCCTACCCCACTGCTCCTACCAATGCACCCCTCTCCCGATGGAGCCGACGGACCCATTGCAAGCAGAAAACGCTGCTAAGGGTGCTGAGCCCCCTGCTCACCCAACACCCAGCCTGGGGCATCGCCAGGGTGTCCCCACCAGCAACCCCCCGCGCTCGGCTTCTCAGCCTGTGCCCAGACTTTCATCTCAGCACGTCAACTGCAAATCGCATTTAAAACTGCAATTAAAGGGTTTGAGGGTTTTAAATCGTTGGACGTGCCATCAGCGGCTGAATGCCTTGTTAGAATTAATAACGCCATTATCTGGTAATTCAATAGCTGTGGATTAGCCAAGCGGAGCGGCTGTCCTGGAGGAAGCTCCAGGGAAAGCCAAGAGGTCGAAGCAGGCTGGATTTCAGAGCCCCAAGCAAGACCGACTCCTGCACTTCCTCCATCTCCATCGCTTGGCTGCTGAGCCCCCGCACAGGGGCTCCGGCGTCCCCCCGCGCTCCCTCCGCCCTGGGAGCACCCCCAGAGCACTGCTGGCAGCGGGGAGAGCCAGCGCCCCGGGTCTGGGCACTTACTTTCTGAACTGCTCCAGGAAGCGATCCCGGTGGCCCTGCAGCGTATCCGCCGGCAGACCTGGAAGAAGCAGCAGGTAGAAATGTCACTGGGTGTCTCCACGCCGGGAAGGAGCACAGATGAGGGGACAACCCATCAGCACAGCCACGTGGGGAGGGTCTTTCCCAGAGGTGGCCACCCTCCTCCTGGGGTCCAGAATGCTCCGGGCTCAGCATCCCGCGGCAGGAGGGGATCACAGCCTCCCCAGGACACCCTCGGGGCAGGGAAAGGCAGCGAGCTGGCACCACAATTCGAGGTCCTGGGGGATGTGCGTTTTGCAGCTGGTGCCTGTCCAAAGCCGGGGGGGGCTCCTGGCAGGCACCACCCCCACGGCCGAGGGGTGCTTGGCAGGACAGGCTCCTGGGACAGCTCGGTCCCCCAGCACTTGCACCTCCTTCTCCCTTGCCCTGGTGACTCCCTCCACACCCCCAAAAAGGCTGGGAAGGAGATGGGGGGTGAACGGCCCAGCCTGAGCAGGGTGGTGACGCCCGGTGTCCCTCTCCGTGTGTCCCCCCCTGCCCAAGGCGGTGGCGCTGGGGACACTCACAGGAGTGGAGCTTGAAGAGCAGCTTGACGGTGTAGTCGTAGAGGTGGCTGCAGTCCAGGATCACCTGGATGAGGGGGGCCAGGCGGCACTGCCCCGCGGCCGTCACCGACACCGAGCGTGACATGTCCAGGGAGCTGAACACTGCGGGGAAGGAGCACGGGATCAGGCTCCGGCAGCACCAGCAGCACCGGCGGGTGCCACGCTGTGTCAGCCGCGTCCAGAAATGTCGCCCCGAGCGAGAGACCTTCACCCAAAGCAAGATACCTGCTGGCCCCTGGGGACCCAGCCCGCCACCCTGCAGCTGTTTGCAGGCTCAGCAGGAGGGGAAATTCCTACCCGGGACTCCCACGCAGGCCTGGGAACACTTCAGCTTGGCACCGTGGGCTGGAGGTGCCTGGTCCTGAGCCCCAGCCGGGACCCCAGGCAGAGCTCCCGGCCCCCCAAGGACTCTGCCCGTCACTGCCATCCCACTGGCATTCGCGTGTGCTGTGCATGCCGGCAGGGAGACGCTCCAAAACCAGCCGGGAGCAGCTGGCAGCGCCTCACGTCCGTGATCCTCTGTCCACGTCACATTGAATTGCATCTCGTGCCGGGGTTGCAGGATGTACCCCATGACACCAGGGCACGAAGGTATTTCTGTCAGGGCTGGGGCCAGGCTGGGGCGTGGGATGCCAGGCTGCTGGAGATGTGTCCGTGGTCCATTTTCATGGTCCAGCATTGCAGGTCTCCCTCAAGTCGTGGGCCGCCTGCCCTCAAAGCGTGCTGGCGCAGCAGGCAGGCTAGCAGGGCAGGTGGAGAAGATGGCAGCTTCATCTCCCCCCATCCAGCAAGTTCCCTCCAACAGGGCAGGATGGCGAGAGCTCCCAGGAGCGCTCCAGGGATGGGGCTGCGCCACATGGGTGAGCCCCCCTGGCACCATCACCATCCCGCTGTGCCAGTGCCAGCGTGCGGCCACGAGACGAGGGTGCCTGCTCCAGTTCCGTCGAAACACAGCCCTGTCCCGCCAGCACCCACAACCTAGCGCGTGCAGCAGATGAAGGCTTGCCCCAAAATTGCTTTAATTTACCCCAGACCTGATCCTGCTCGAGCCTGCAGAGGTGCGTGACAATCCTGAAGGTTGAGACTGGCTTGTTTTTACCCCTCCGCTGGCTTGCGCAGGAGGGCAGGAGGAAGGCAGGGTGCCCCCACGCCTCCCCAAGCTCCAGCACCGCCACAAACACCCACGGCAGCTTGCGTTTGCCGCTAATAAAAACCAAAACCTGTCGCAAGCCCACGAGTAAGACGAGAAGAAATTCAGCCCGGGGAGGCTGCCGGAGTGGGAGAGCCCAAAGTCTGGGCGGTGGAAGGGATGCACGTGGTGGGGAGCAGGGTGGGGTGACGTGGCCAGCCCCATAGCACTGCCGGAGGGCTGCCATGAGGCAGCACGGCATGCAGGGACTTCAGCTAATAATAATTTGGGTGAAGTGCCCAGAAAAGAGATGAGCTGCAATGCCCTCAGACAGCATCCTTCTCGGAGCCTCCCCCCAGCGCAGCTCAGCCCCCACGGACCCCCCACCCCAACCTCTGGCAGGGCAGCGCAGGGGCTTACCCGTCTGGAAGAGGTTCAGCTCACCCTCCAGGTAGTCAAACATCTCCACTGTCAGCTGAAAACTAGGAAAAAGGGACGAGGATGGTTGGGGACCGTCCCCGCGGCCACCCAGGTGCCACCCCAGAGGGCCGAGCGGGTGCTCCGGCGTGGATGCCCCAGCCTTGCCCAGGGGCTCTGCCCACTCCCAGCACCCGTGGCAGGGGTGGGGGGAAGGGGTGTGGGGAAGGTGCAAGGTCCCGTTCCCGGCTCGGTCGTGCTGCCGGTGAGGTTGGGCAGTGCCGTGCCACCCTGCCTGCACCCGCCCCCCTCCCTCGCCTCCCGCCCCTGCCCTGCACTCACAAATTATTGACATCGTTCTCCCCTGCCTCGTCAAGCTGCCGGTCGGACATCTGGAGATTGCCGGGGAAGCGGGGATTCTGCGTGGGGAAACCGGAGTCAGGAAAGGGTTTCGGAGGATCTCCTTTAAGAAACCTTAAACCTGTGACTCTGTTGAAGCCCTGCTGAGAAGAACTAAGTTGTGCATGCTCAGCGGTGCTCAGATTAAGTTAATCATTATTTCCCCATCATTCTTGAATTTCCAGGCTGACTTGTTGCTCCCACTCCACTTTCCCTGCCCATATAAAAACCTTATCTTAGAAAGCACTAGAGTGCCTTACGTCCACACTTTGGTCCCAAACAAAGGGAGGTTTCTATACACATCTATTTAATTTCTCCTTTGCTGACTGTGGCGAATAACCCTCCACGCTTGCACGCCGGTCAGAGCAGGTGCTGCTGCTCCTCCTTCTCCGTGCACCAACAGGGACACCCCACCAGCCCAAGTACTCGGCATCCCTCCCCGCATTCGTGGCGACGCAAAGAAGTCAGGCTCCACTGCAGGGTTCTCCGGGGGATTTACACCTCGGTGTTGGCCTCTGCCCTGCCTGCGCTGCCTCCTGCCTGTCCCTGCTGCCTGGGCTTGCTTTAGCCCTTGCAGATCTTGCCAGGGCAGCGCTGGGGATGGGCAGGAGCTGCTCCTACGGTGCGGCACGGCACAGCATGGCATGGCCCCCACAAGCCCTCCCCACTCCAGAACCCTATGGCCTCTTCCACCTCTGCCCATCTAGGATACCTGGGAGGGGACGTGCACTCCAAAGCTGGGGGTCTCTTACTGCTTCTTGTAGCCCCGCAACTCCCAGCCCAGGTGCCTCCAAGGAGCCCTGATCCACCACGAAACCATCCATCCCCAAGGCATTGGTCCTTGGACCACTTTTTATCCAGGTGAAGGATGGACCCTGGCAGCCTGGGACATGTTTCATGGGGGCAGCAGGACGGCCATGACAGAGGAGAGGACCCTCGGGCGTGACAGCACCGGGACGGCTCTGCCAGCCCCTGGCCTGCCCCGTAGCATTGCCACCGCTTTCGCCCCAGCGCCCCATCACCCACCCCTTGCTGTGGCCGTGGGGACGGGGATGGGGCAATGCTCACCTTGGTGTGAAACTCCATCTTGGTTCTCAGCAGTTTGAGGTAGATGCTGCAGAGCTGTCCGTAGCCCTCGCTCAGGTGGCCCTGGGGACACCAAAAAGCTGTTGAGACGTGGGGCAGGCTGTGAAAAAGCCTTCTTGCCTTGCGGCATGAGCGACGCCTCCCTTATCTCCCCCCAAAACACAGCCAAAACCCTCCTCGCTGACACACGGGCTGCAGGCTGGCTTGCAGCACATGTGCCGAAAGGATTTGGTCAAGACCTTTTCATCACCTTCTCTGTAGATTTCAATGCTGCGTTTGACCGCCAGAGCCGAGTTTTACTGGGTTTTGCCATAAAATAGGAAGAAGGCATTTGATTTTGGCGGAAGGGAATATCGAACACAACCAGCAAACCCAGCCCGGGGAGGTCACGGCAGTCATGGGTCAGCCACGGCTGAGTTCAGACCTTGGAGCCTGGCTCCTCCTGGGTGAGACCACCGTCCAAGCCATCGCCACCCCCAGCCCCGGCTGGGGCGCTGGGTGCTGCCAAAGGACCCCCAGGGTGTCCCCACCACAGCGGCTGGCGCGGTCGGCCGCTTACCCACATCCTGCTCATGTCGCTCAGCTCATTCTTGTATCTCACGGAGTCTTTCAGGACCTGGAGGAATGATGACGAAAATAAGCAGGCAGCACGGGTAGCAGGCAGAGCACCAGGGCAAGGCGTGCCATACTTGGAGCCGGCAACTGGGGTAAGGAATGGGAGGTCTCGATGCGTTCCCGACCCTGCAGCCTGCTGGTGGTGTCACTACCGCCAGCCCCAGGGTGCCTCAGTTTCCCCATCCGCACGGGGAGCAGGAGGATCCTTGCTGATGGCTCCTGCACCAGTGCCCCACGTCGAGCGGTTTCCTCCAGCACGGACGCTGCGGTTGGCACCGGGGCTTGTAGCGCAGGGGGGTTGCGGGCAGACCAGCGCCGGGAAGGGTCCAGCGAAGTGAGCAGGGAGGGGTCCCTGTGCCGGTCCTCAGCCAGGACTGACCCCCAGGAGGGCACCAAGCCGCCAGCACCTCCCACCGCCCTGTGCAGCCCTGCAGGGGAAAGGATTTGGCCCCAGGGCAAGCTTGCAGCACTCACGTTTGAGTGGCCGTCCCGGAGGAGTTTGTGGAAGACGTGGCAGAACTTCCAGCAGAGCACGGCGTTGCCTGACCGCGGCCGGCCGGT